CGTTTGTCTTTCCGTTGTAAAGAGCGAGCGAGGCTGTATAGGTGCCGTTGGCTGTGATGTCGACACGGACGTTGCTGCTTGTAACGTTCAATGGAATCATGCTGGCCCCCATGTAGCCAGGGCTGCGGGCTGGCTTGACGGTGTAGCTCCCGTTTCCATTTTGGTCAACGTTGTCAAATGTGAGATTGCTGTATTTCTGCCAGAAGTACTCGCGGGCTACGGGATTATCAATATCGACGTAGGCCATGCGACGCCAGTAGGAACCAACGATTGGGCCAATGGGACCGAGGATTCTCTGCAGAGTGTGAAGCGGGGTTTCGCCACTACCGGAACGATACTGAATGTTTATCTGACGCATGATATCTAGGCCAGCATTCGGGATGTTGTCAAGGTTTGTTGTCAGGTATGTCATGAATGGCCACGCTCGATACAAGTTGCCGTTGGTGCCGGCGACGACAATCGGTAGGTGAGAATTGCCCACGGTTACATCAGGATAGAATTCCGTCTTGTCAACTGGCCGGCCGTGTGCCGCGCGGGCCGCAGCACATATGTCGGACGTTTTGTACGTGTCAGCGAACCAATTCGCCCAAGTCTCCCACCAGGCGCTCGTGTTATCCTGGTCAACCCATCTCTTCTGAGAATGCGTTACGATGTGGCCATACTCATGAGACAGGTAGCCGGCATCAGTGATGTAGTTGGGGTTTATTTGCAGCCAGCCTAGGCCGGTCTCCCAGTCCGTATTCATCAGACCCCCCGCGTCGATATCTGGAGAGTAGTAGACATTGGTCTTAGTCCAGGGCCCAGTGTCATCCTCATCGTAGTACGAAAGACCCGTGGACCGGTATCCCAATCCGACAATGTAGCAGTCGTAGGATGCCTCCAAATGAGCCAAGGCAATGTCGGTGCTCTCCTCGGAGCCCGTGTTGTTGTATAGACGGAAATGCGCTGAGTCTTTGAAAATAGTACCGCCACCACCAATACTTGGGTTGGCAGTAAAGTTGGCAGGCTCTGCTCGGGTTGTCAACACCTTGGGTCCTTGAGGGGCGGCCCAAGCATGCTGGAGTCGCAGAAGTAAGCCGGCCACAACAGCCTGCTTGTTGCAGTGCATTGTGGAACTGTCAAGAAACCCTCGATGAGTGTTCCAAAAGGTAGTTCTCTTTATTCGTCCTGTAATTGTTACCCAAGCGATCTATTTAAACGGTTGATTCCTTCGTGTCCTACTAATAATTGAACATTGGGTCCTATGATGCCAAGTCTTCAGAGGATTTACTGAGTTATTTAGTCCCTATCACTATCGGACAACCCTCCGGTCGGAAGACCACGCAGGCCGGTCGCAATATATTCCCGTCTAAGATGGGATTTGGCGGCCCAATCGGGGAGTTGGCACTCCTTAATTAACCAGTATCAGCCGGCAGCAGATCCCGAAACCTCGTTCTTCAAGTCCTATTACAGCAGGTGGTAACGTCGGTGCGCTAACAGGCCTGCCAAGTTCCTCGCGCACGGAAGGGATCTCCTGATCTTAGCCTGGGTAGTTACATGTTCTCTGTGAGGGTTGCGAGATCGAGCGGAGCGAAAGTATACCCTGACTAGAGATACGAATTACCATCAGCAGGCCAGGTCGATGCAATCAATCCAGGGAGACCCCAGCAGGACACCTGAACTAGGTATCTCATACCGTGTCAACTGATAACACTGGCCCTATTGCCTCTTTACCGCTACAAACGAAATGCTGTGCCACCAAATCTTCTGGCTTGGTTGAAGATGAGGGGACTCACTCCGCGACCGTAGGGATCTATCTAACTTGGATTTGACCATGAAACTATTTTTGGTTTCGAGTAGTATCTCATGTCGCGGATCTCGGTAGGGTACGCTCTTGTCTTCTTCCCTCGGCTTCTGGTCGCAGGCGTCAATGTGGACGCAGCAGAATTCGACCGCTTGCGACCCAGAGAAGGCAAAGACTTTTTCCGGGCGAGCAAGTGTTCCATATCAAGTTCAAAATATTCTTGCAGCCACTGTCCCTGTCTCGTCCAAATTTCGATCGGGTTGGTCGGCTCGGTTGGCTCGTGGGTGATACGGTTCGCTGTCGCGGGTCTGTCTGGAGCCGTCTCTACCTTGGGAGATCGCCGAGGCCGCTTCGGGGAAGAGTCAATGTTGTGATCAAGTTGCGTCAACGCGTCGTTTCGTAGTATTCTTGGCTGGATATGAATGCGATTGATCGGAGTTGGAGCTCTCGCGAGTCAGCTTCTGTTGGAGACGCGTCGAGGTTCTGTGCTTCGCGACGCCCTGAGGCCGCTTTCCTGGTTCTCCGTCAGCAGCGTAGCTCGGCGTTCCATGAAACGTGTAGCGTGTATCTTGATCTTTTGGCGCCGTTGATGCATGCCCCATCTGGGGGCAACCGTGCTTGATCGTGAGCCATGGCAAGGGAGAATGTTGATGAGGGAAAATGTGTGGGGAATTTAATAAGCGCCGGCAGTTGCATCAGGTGGAGACAAACTGCCCGGCTCATAATAACGCCTTGATATGCACAGAAGGGGTCAGCAGAAAAAGAACGTTATTGCTGAACAACAACAACACCACACACAACAACCAGAGATTGCTACTGGACAAGAAGTCTCTCGGATTTGATTCCTGTTAATCATTTGCAAGGATGGAAGTAATCTTTGGTGAGAGGCATCCGAAGCTGCTCGTTCGTCAGCGCTAGATACCCTACCATTTAGGGCAACATTAAACGTATCACAAAATGAAAAAAGAGGTAAATTCCTATCTTGTAGATTCTGTAATAATATTGGTCTTCCCAATGCTTTAATCGTACCATTTAAATTTCTGGCCTGTTGTGCATAGCTTAAGAGTTATCTTGGGCTGTTTTGATCCTGCGGGTAAGAGTTCCCCCTTAGGCTTCGTCTCCGTCAACTAATTTCTTACATTGAACTAAAGAACAAGCTATTTTAAGACCATTGAAGATTCAGGTTTGCCTCACCTCCTCCGCGTCATCATCATGTAAATCTCTCCTTTCTTTTCATCTAGACATCTAGTTGCCTTGACACAACCTCAGCAACCAAGTACCATTACCTGGTCTTCAAGATGCCGCATCCAAACAGCTGGTTCTATCGCATCGCCGAGTATGTATACTCACTCCCTGAACCACCGCCTCGCGTGCGAACAAAGCCGATGGAGGTCATATGCATTGGCATGCCACGTACGGGCACTGAGTCGCTTCAGCACGCTCTGTTGACACTAGGTGCGAGGCTTTCCATCCCGAGCTTCCAGAACGCGCAAGCTCGCTAACTCTTGCAGGTTACGATCACACTTACCACGGTTGGGATATCAATTTTGAGTCTCCCAACTATGCTCAGCAATGGGTTCGCCTTTGCCAGAAAAAGTAGGGAGAGACATTCCCTCCAAAGCCATATATTTCTGACAACTAAATGGCAGATGGTACGCTCCTGAGGGTGGCGACGTCCAGCTCACGGCGGAGGACTTTGACAAGGTAATGGGACACGCCGTCGCTGTGGCAGACGCTCCCGCTTCGGTCTTCGCAGCCGAACTTATCCAAGCATACCCCGAGGCCAAAGTCATCCTCAATTACCGGAAGGACATCGATGCCTGGCATACGAGTCTGATGGGCACTCTGGCGCGAGGGCCGACGCTCTGGACTTTCTGGATCCTTGCTAGTCTCGACAAGGAGTGCTTCTGGAATTGGCAATGCTATCTTGTATACATGTGGCCAGGACTCTTCCGCGCCATTGATGGAAAGGTTGAGACGGGGATGCTGCGCAACGCAAAATGGGTCTACCGCGGTATGTCTTATGTTCTAACCTTCTTTTTCAGCAGGCGTTTTCTCTGTGTTAAACTTACTGACAGGAAAAATACAAGCGCACTACGCCATGGTTCGAGGCATGGTCCCCAAGGAGAGACTCCTGGAATGGTCTGTCGACGATGGTTGGGAGCCCTTGTGCGAATTTCTCGGCAAGCCTGTCCCAGAGGAGCCGTTTCCCCATACCAACACTGCGGCCGGCTTTGCTGGACAGGAGAAGAAGTTGGCAATAAGATATGTGACGGGAGCGGCTAAAAATCTTGCAATCATCCTTGGTGCAATCTCAGTTGGGGCCGGTGCTGTGTATGCTTGGTATCGCTAGTTTCTCACACGTGTCCTGGTGCGAATGACGTGATGGTGAACTTTGCCCTTCACACTCTTGTGAGGCCATGGTTCAATGGGAGCTAGCGCTTTTCGTGGTTGCGTTATGTGCACATTTTTCATGGCTGAGCGAGCAGTCCACCAAACTAAGATTTGGCAACGATTTCTGCAACCGTTAATCGGTTCGAAACTTCAAATCAAGTGCAGATTCAGTTTGAAAGGGAGGAAACGCGAAATGTCAATCAGACGGAATTTAGATCTTTTTAAAAACTAAGCGAACCTGTGATGGGCCATAGAAATATATCCTCAGCTCAAGCTTGAGCTAACTCGACAAAACATGTCAACCCTCAGTTTCAAGGAGTCTCTGAGAATAAAATCGGAAAGCGGTGAGAGTGGCGCAACTGCCCACAGCTACCCTCCAGGCCAAGGTGAACTCCCACTTCTTCCTTATCCTCCAAGTTAACGTCAACTCTCACCTCTTCTTTCTCCTCCAACCCTCCCACACACTTAAATTGGATGCTCTTTGCACCCAACTCACTCACCCTGCAAGCCCCTTTGCAGCCCGTGAGCAAGACTTTTCGAAGCCATGGACAAACCTCAGTCTATTGGTGGTCGTGCTTCCATCACTGAGAACTCCGGCAAATCTCATATTATCGACCGAAATGAAAGATTCGATCCACACTCCGACCCTCGGTCAGCTTTTGTACCAGTCGTCCTAGACGATAATGGGAAGCCCTGTTCAACCCAGACGCGAGTGTTTATAAGGGGTAGGGTCTGCGCTTGTTGGAACTTGGCGTCCCTCAGCTCATTCTACGCCTCGTTGCACACGAACAAAACTCACCCTATAAGGTTTTTCCCAACCTTTATGGATCTTCCGATCGCAAACTGTACCATTCTCTGGCGGGTTGCACAAAAGGTTTCCATGGAAAAGGCCACTGAAGAATGGAGAAAGGCATTCTCGAAAGCTGGCGCAAGCTATGATGGTAAAGTCGATGAAAAAGGACGAATCAAGATTATTGAGGAAGCATTCCGCATTCTCGTACGTTCCTCAAGTTTCTTATTGCCGCCGACCCCCACAGACTTCTTCCGCCAGTTTCTCTGATATTATGCATTCTAACCATGGTTTATGCAGGTCCGATGCATTGATTCCGCACAGCATACCACGACCACTCCATTGACTGCAATGCAACACCAACTGGGCGCCACTGCCGCGCCGCATGACGTGAACGACATCGAATCCGCCGCAGCTCGAATCCCCGAACCAGCCAAGATGACTCTCAAGTCCCTCACCGTCAAGAACATTGTTGATGAATTCTCGAGCATGGAGGCCACAGATCATTTAGCCCAACTCGTCACTGGAGTAGAGGAAGCCATTTCCAGACGGGACAAGTTCATCGTCGATCAGCTACACAAGGAGGACGCCAAAATCAACAAGGAGCTTTCCGGACTCCTCAAGGAAAAAAGGCGACATGAAAAGGCGGAAGAAGTCCGTCTTGGGATTAAGAAGCTTGGAAGCTGCCTCGACGTCCTCGATGACGATGACGAACCTCTGCTACTTCACAGTGGCGCAAGGCGAGCTCTGAATACGCTCGAGGAGGAAATCAAGAAATTACCCACGAAACGGCCCAGGGACTGTGAATCGGAGTCAGCAGCCCTCAGAGCAAAACAAAAGCGGATCAAGACACAAGTTGGGCTTCTCGCGCAGACAGAACTTACCGTTTCTGCCTCGGAACACCTCAAAATTTATTAGGAATAAATGCATGTGGTATGAGACCCGGCCAGGGGAACATACGTGGTAGCCTACCATAACAGCGGCAAAAGGGCTCAACGTGCTGAAGGAAACCTTGGCGGATTCATGAGATGGTCACTCCGACCGGATCGCACACTTGTCCCAGTTTTCATGGGCAAAAATGCCTCAAAAGATCGATAGCTAATCAGTTAAATGCTTGGCATCTATGAGATTGTCCTATTCCAATCGCACTTGCCAGACGGAAAAGATAGCTTTTTTTATGAACGATGATTCTGGGGCTTATTCATACGTACTTCAAATTCCAGTTTAGTTTTAAGGCATACCAAACAACTAATTTTCACTAAAATATCTCTGATCTTCCTAAATTAATGAATGGCCTTGAGAGCCTAGAGATACCCAGAACCTTTCCGTCTCAAATTGAGCTCGTCAAGTAAACAAACAAGTGCCCAATAAGATGGAGTTTGCACCTCCAACTCTGTAAATCCCAATTTTCTGGACACACTTCACCTCTGAACCGCCGTCAGTTTCACATTCAGCTCTCCCTTTGACCAGAGATTCCAGATCTTCTGCTGGTCCCATTCTCTGCTTTCAGGCATCAACTCTAGATCAAACTTCCAAAGAAGTCGGGCCAGGATAAGACGCATCTCAGCATAAGCGAGACTGTGGAAATCAAGATTAGTATTTGAAAATTGAACATAAGAGTACAGACGTAAAGGAAAAACTTACTTCTTGCCAATGCAGTTTCTTGGACCAATTGAGAATGGGTTGAGAACCGATTTTGCATCCGACTTGTACTTCGGGTCTCCTTCAGGCAGCCAGCGCTCAGGAACAAATTGCTGCGGGTCGCGGAAATTCCTATCGCTGTAGTATGATGACAATTGCGAGACTGATACAGATGTCTAGTTGGCCCAGCAAGTCAGTAGGTAGAATCAGGCGGGCTTTTCAGAGGAGCCTTTGATGAAGCTCCTCCAATGGAGCTACTTACTCCTTCAGGAACCCAATGGCCATCAATGAATTCGCCACCAGAAGGCGCAAGCCGGGGAAGCCCGACTGGAACAGGCGGATCTAGAACAAGATTGTAAGCAAATAAAGCGAAGAATGGTACCAGGAAGACCTACACATCCGAAAGCCCTCACTCAATGTAGCGAGCATATAGGGGAGCTCGTTGACTCGCAAGAGCGTCATTTCCTCCTCCGATTGGAAAGCAGACCTGATTTCCTTTGTGATCTTCTCGTATGACTCTCGATTTTTCAAGAGATGGAAGGTTGTGCCACTGAGCAAGGTCGCGGTGGTCTCACTACCCGCGATGATCAAAATTCCAGCATTCTCAACGATCTCGCCTTTACTGAGACCCTTCTCGCCGCTATGGCGAAGAATATAGGACATGAAATCTTCTCTCTCCATGTTTCCACTCTCTACTCGGTTCAAAGTGGTTTCTTTTGTAAGCTTGAAGTGCTCTTTGCTCCTCTTTATGAGTTCTGCTGGCATGAAAAGCCTGGCCAAAGGCTTTAGCATCGGATGCCGCTTGAGAATTTGAGACAAGGCTGAAAATTGAACATCGTCAAAGATCATCGATACCCACGGATGATAGCCTCCGCTCTCGAGGCATCCGAAAGGCTGGCCGAAGGATAAGTCACCGATCAGATCGAAAGTAGTAAAGTTGAACCACTTGACAATGTCCAATTGCTGTCCGAGTTTGGCGTGCTCAGTCATCTTGCTGATGAATAAATCGACATAGTCTTTCATGATAGTCTCCTGTCCTCTCAGAGCTTTCTCAGAGAACGCATGAGAAATCAGTCGACGCATGCGCTTGTGGTCCTCCCTGTTGGCGTTGATGATGTGGGGAGCATCCGAGTGAATTGAGGCTCCATAAAATCTAGGGTCTTTACTGAAGTTCTTAGCGGCTAATGTCTTGTGGTCGTATATGGTCTTCCAGGCATCCGCTGTAGTGAATGATACGTCGCCAGGAGTGTATCTGACTGCTGGTCCGTACTTCTCGTGAAGGCTCTTCAGAACATGTGGCCAGGTTCCCTTGGCAATGTGGTACAAGTATGGCAGATCTGTGAGGGTGTAGATGAATGGTCCTGGGATTTTCGACAGTGGGTGGAAGAAGACCAGGTACAGGCTCCTAACTATGTTCCAGAGGACGAACTACACACCTGTTAAACACACGATAAATGAGCACGGAGGATAAGACTTACAAGTACACCAGCCCCAAGGGCTAGGTAAGGAAAGTGTTCCCGTGAGAGTTCCATTTTGTCTGCAAACCAAGCTTCAAGTTTGATTGCTGGGCCGGTATAGCTGCCAAGGCAGCAGTGAACACGTCTACTTGCTGCTCAAGGGGATATAGATAGGCAACACCAATCGAGAGTGGTGCCCGGGCGACTTGAAAGGATAAGATAGATTTTGGAAGATTCGACGGTTAACAGCGCTGGGAACCGTCTCATTTATAGCTACGACCTCGGTTTCCTTTGTCATATCTCGGTGTTTCCTGAAGAGCTTCACCCCGGTATTCTCTCCCCCTCATGCGCGCGCGCCACGGCCATCTCGGTAAATTTCAAGATTTTAGATCTTCTGCCCTCGGAAAATCCATATACAACATAGAGTGCGTCACGCGCGGTTACATTCCCTAGCCGCCTGCAGATTCCGAGCGGGTCGTCGTAACGCAAAGAAGCGTTTAGAGGGAAAATGAAACCTATCAAGTGGAGTCAGGAAGCATTGACGTATGAAAACTGGATGGTTACGAATCGTCGACTTGACGCTTCAAGGATTCGTGCATATCAGCTCAATGCAAGAGTCGATGCTACGCCACCATGATTTCATGGTACTCCTGGTCTTGATACAAGAAGACTCGCTTTGCTGCAAGCTGTATCACCACAGCTTACTATCGGATGAACCCTTGCTGCTAAGGAAGGACTTTGGTGTTCTTTGTTGCCTTGGAGAACAACAAACCATGCAACTCAAGCCAATCAACTTATTCTATACTGATAGTCAAGAGAGTTGCTAAAGGCAAAGACTACACTCCCACCATGTATCCATGCTGCCATTGGCAGGCAAGGGGATGCCTGTAGGATGTGGGTATTCGGGGTTTATGTGTCCACTCGGAGTCCTGTGACGGGGAAGTTCGACACCCGATACCCCGATGAATGTAAGAATATATGACTGATTACTTTTGATCCCCCACGCGCCTTTATCCAACTCAGTCGAAGAAACCTGATGGCAATAAATGGCTTCTTTAGCTCACACAAGGCTAGCCCACGTAGATCTCCCGCCTCCTCAACCTAGCCGCCAGACCCCAGCATAACTGGAGATTACGACGCTCTTCCACACCTGCCTATTGTGACTCTACCTGCATGCCTAGTGATCTTAGCCATAAACTGCAGTTGCCGATTATTAAAAAGACAAAACTACATACCTATGAATGCATAGCTAATCTATAGACACACATCTATTAGTCCATCAGTCCAAATTTCTCGTAGCAAAAGAGTCCCAAAGATTGGCGTCTCATCAATCATACAGTCCAGGCCCGGCTTCTCTTACACCACCTCTAACACTTTAAGTATAGTATGTTCCTCTCCCTTCCCAGTTGCTCTTCCAACCCAAGCCGCCAGCAGGAGACCACATATTAACTGGTAGTACGGCAATCCTTAGTCTTATTATCAATTAACTGACATACCGACGTATCAGTCCAAAATGTGATAGTCAGAAGCCAGAGTATTTATAGGCTCATTATTTCGTGCAAGTTTTGGGCATTGGTCCTGTTTTTAAAAACTCAACAGTCGGCCGCCTCTCGCCACCCAGGGCAATATCAAAAGTAGTCGTACCCTCAACCTTTGCAGCCGCCTTGAATTCTACCCACCCATTGTTCTTCACGCCAGTAGATTCGAAATTCGCCGTCTCCCATTCTAGGGCTGGCGTAACAGCAACATCACGCTTCTTCTTGTGGACTACTTCCAGAGTCAGAGGCTTGGAAGCCTCATCCTCGCGGACCATGGCAACGACAGATACTGGAATCATCCCATCAATGATGTTACCACTGTCGAAGCAGGAATCTGACAGCTGATACAAAACAGTATCGTCCACGGGGTACCCGCCTGTTCCTTGGTTGTCATAGATAACAGTTTCGTTGGTGGAAGGCGTGGTTTCACGGATAGTGAATTTGCTAATTCCAGTTGCACCCTTCACAGTGGTCTGGAAGTTAAAGTTGATGAAAGATTCACCATGGAGGCCAATGCTGAGGCCGAGCTTATAGGTCTCTTTAACGGCAGTAACCACATGCTCTTGAGAACCATCTCTATCGTAGTAGATGAGATCGGCAGCTATGTCATTGTAATTTCGACCTGAGCCTTCCGTGACTCGAAAGCGAAGGGAGCCTGTGAAAGTGATATCGCCACCCTCGGTCAAAAGGAGCTGGCTGATGTATGGTTTAACCTCATACGGTTCAATAACATCGCTCAGCTGGACATTGCTTGGCACAGTATCAATCATGCGGTTGAAAATGTCGGCGCACATATTCAGGAAGGTCTTCTCGTCCTGCATCTTAGTCATGGTCGTATTTCCATCCGAAGAAAAGACGCGTTTATCAGCGTTCAAGGTGTCATTGGATGCCACCACCAGAGGATTCTTTGTGGAGCCGTCGAGGTACTCGTTGACCACTCCATTATTGATCTTGGAAACGTCCTTTTGGAAGGTGACAAGCGTATCATTGTTAGGGTCGGCGGGGATATCAACAATCTCCGGGCTGTTGACACTATGGACGCCGCCGAGCGTGTGACCACAGGCAACCATGGTGATCATTTCTTCCTTGGTAAACCCTGCCTTGGAGAAGGTCTCGAGCACGGTATCCAGGTCAGTGTGTGCCTCCGGGACACCGGAAGGGCCAGCTTCGGTTGCATCTACCCGCCCACCGCGGTACTGCAGCTTATTTCCGCCGCATGCACCGCTGACAGTAACCACACCCAAAGCTACCAGATCAGCGGCCGACGAACGAACTGTATGGAATCCGCTGAAGAATCCCCAGGTGTTGCTGAATGCACTGCCTTCGTTCTCGGCTCGATCCAATTCAAAGAAGATGGACGCATCCACACCGCCAGTTCCCAACTCCGCATTGTGTGTCACCATGTCATGGAAGGCCGTTCTCAACCACTGTGCGGAGTTGTGGCGGCCTTTTTCGTTTTGAGCAAAGTCACAAGGATTCACAGCTGCGGGTAAGGAGGCAAGTGTAAGCGAGATCCGCATCCAATCAAGTGTTATGGATGAGCGTTCTTACAGTCAATGAAACCCTGCCGGTTGATCCCAGACATCATGGTGTAAAGGTTCTCAAGCTCGTCCCACTTGGAGGGCCAGACAAGCTGCCCGGCAGCCGCTGAGTGGGCCAAAGCGAGAGTAGTGATTGCAAACGACTTCATAGTGAGAAGATCAACGAAGGTGGAAACGGGAATGAGGACATCTCAAGCAGAGACGGGAGTGCCAGCCCTACACTTATAACCGGCTTCCTATTTCAATTTCCTCCCTTCTCCAGTCACCGCCACCAGGCTTCAAGCAACCTAGAGCCTACAGAATTGTCTTGGCGCAAACGGCCCGGCCGTAGATGGTTTGGGCACAGATTGAGAATGTAAAGTCCCGATACTCGCTCCAATCATGGAAAGGAGATTTGTGATGCAACCCCAGTAGGTGGGCCAGGGGTCCCTTTTCCTCTCGTATAATTTAAAATACGAGGCTGGCTCCTTTCCTCAACAGCGCAAACCCCCACTCTGGAATGAAATACCCTTATCTTCTTGGAGCTTGGGCTGCGGAAAACGTCCGGGGTCCATCAAAATTCACGGCACTTGAGAGGGAGCGGAACTTGGCAATGTCACTCTTGCAACTCTCTAACCAAAATAGCCACTTAGATTCCTCCAGTTAAGTTATTACCATTCTATTTTTATCTTGACGCCACTAAGCGTCTACTGTGTATACCAAACAAATCCGCATCTCAAAACATGGCTTCATGGTGTCGCTGCTAGCGGTTGAGACAAATAATGAGTCTTTACGACAAAGAGACTACATGTTTAATCGCTTGAGGGTAAACATCATCATTCGTGCGACAATAGGTAGTCAGACTTCCAACGGCGCTCCGAGTGCTGGGGGTTGAGGCTCACTTATAGTTTCACAATGTTGGGTCATTAAGGGGTAGTAAGATATGGCATTCTTTTATCATTTCAAAACAACAGCTCTTCACAAGGAAATTCGATGGCAGGCAAACCCATACAGAACCCCTTCAAGCCTTCCAACCGGGAAGAAAAAGGAAAGGTAGAAAAAGGTATAGCTCCTAGTTTTTCTAGGCGACCTGGTCCCAGACTATTAATCAGACCGCCCAACGAGTCAAATGGTCAGTGAAAGACAATTCACGTTCTAGCTCGGAATCTCTCGTTCGTTGTCCTCATCCTCTAGGATTGTTTCCTTTCAAAAAGTGAGGCCATAATGAGCAACGAATCGAAGATCTCTGGTCCATGTGGCTTATTCATATCCAGATTTACACCAAATTAAATGTCATCTACTACTGCTTCAGCATGAACAAGGGCTATTATACCTCTCATTCCTCTATCAAGATCTACATCAACCCTCTTGCTCCTCAATGTTTGGTAAGATGAGTCAGCTTGCTGGCACAGCCTTGTAAGGCAGACTTGGAGGCCAATGATGACTTCCCCGCACGTCCAGCCTCAGAAGCACATGCATTCGTAAGTCATTGACCCATGATCATTCGCAAGAAATTTTGGTCAGTCGTGCTCCAAGTCTGATCTCAACGTCACAAATCATGAATTCCGGACAATGTGCGCTGGGTGATCCCTGCCTTTCCCCTCCGTCATTTGATGACACACTCTGCGAGGATTGTCGCCATATTGATATACGCCCTCTTCTTTTAGCACCAGAACATAGCGCTGTATCTTCGTCTGAACCAGCCAGCGCATACGAGGACAAGGCATCGATATTTATTAATGAGTTTAATCCAAACAGTGTCCTCAAATCTCACCACTGTTCTCTTTGTACCCTCCTTGCAGAGTGTGCTAGGCGAGCAGGTGGCGCCGGCAGGCTATCAAAAGTGCGTTGCTGTCTTCGACCTAAACTTCGTTGGTCACATACACCTGTATCAGATTCAGCTGTGAAAGGAGGACTAGAGAGTCAACTTGAGCACGCCGGCCAGATACATGTCTGGTTCCAAGAATTGAATATCCTACAGCCAGTTCGACGGGAATTAACAAGCCGCCTCTTAGCACAAAGCGCACGGGACCGCCTTAATGCATCATTACGAGACTGGGCAGAATCAAAACGAATACGGTTCTCAGAATTTCGCCTTCATTTACTGCATCGTCCCCTACAGCCACCTGAAGTTCCGGAAATAAGTGCTGCCGTTGCCTCAACCTCAGACTCTAATAAGGGTAATGAGCCCAAGGAAATCCCAACCACCCTTCAAGACAACACCGAGCAATTAAGTGCTATACCATCCGGAGAAGACCTGAAAGTAAAAGAACCCGCCGTCGCCCCATGGATGATTGATGTCATAGGGTCGGATAGTAGTGGTCCGGCAGCAAATAGAGCCCCCATTCCTCCCATTACTGATGTCAATCTGCTCCGACAGTGGCTTTACGAATGCAACACGAAGCATCTTCATCTGCAGCAGCCCCTAAATCAATATTCTCGGATTGGTGAGGTGCTTCATCGTGGAGTACTGAGAGCTATCAACACAACTACAGGAGAAATACAAACTCAGGATTCATTGATGCCTTTCGTGGCCTTGTCTTATGTTTGGGGCCAGACGGCGCACCTTACCCCGAGCCTTGAATCGAAGCCCATTGAGGATTATGCACCGTCCATACGAGACGCTGCTGAGCTCGCCAAATCCATGGATATTGCGTGGCTGTGGGTGGACCGCACGTGTATTAATCAAGGCGACGAAGCAGAGAAGACATTCCTGATACCGTATATCAAGGACATTTTTGCCGCTGCGCAGCTAACCATCATATCAGCTGCAGGAGATGGAGCCCACAATGGACTTCCGGGAACAAAGGAGACCCCGCGGGAGAAAGAAAGCATGGTAGAAGTGATGAATGGACATGAGAAATTCAGCTTACTTCCTTGCCAGCCTAGCTTCAATGCATTGTATGAACCTTGTGTTTGGCGTAAGAGAGGCTGGACCTTCGAGGAGCAAGTCTTTTCCAGTCGTGTTCTCTACATTTTCCCGACTGAAATGATATTCAGCTGCTGCAAGGGAACATTTAGGGAGTCTTCACGACTGCACTTCTCCTCTGGCGCTGCGGGCTTTGGATGGGGTGACAATGGAGCAACTCCACCCATCGTTGCAGCCGAGATAAATGCCAAACTTCACTCTGCGCTCCCAGGTTCTGGCTACTCCTTATCTGCAACAGACTTTGTACGAGCGGTGGAAGAGTACACATCAAGGAGCCTTACAGTTGAGGAGGATAGAGTCGTTGCATTTGCTGGTTTAATAACCATATCCGCTGGCAATCATCCTGGCAACCAGTTCCCAGAGAGAGCACTACTCAAACATGGACACCCGCCTCAGTTCTTTGAAACGGCATTGACTTGGCAGCACGAGGAGGACTTTCAAAAGCGACAGCCACGCAATGAGAAGCCATTCGTACCGAGCTGGAGCTGGGCATCCGCGGGTACCAAGATTCGTTTCCTTGACAATGGAGACGAGAATGGCCGAAGCTGCTTCTTCAACTTCACTTGCCTAAACGGACATGATGTTCTGGCAGTACCTGGGCAGTCTTTCTTCGTACCTAGGAGATTTGCGTTGGCTGAGCCCCTGGACATTCTCCAATCTCAGCCTTGGATGAGAAACCGCAGCGTTCCTCTCAGCTGCCACGAAGCAGCTAATCCTCTTCCACACCTGCCTTCCCTCCATATGGTAACTGTCATTTTTTATGGTAGTTTTGTGCGCCAGGACAAAGATGTGCACAGCCTTGCCTGTCTAGATGGAAGCCATGACCAGGATGCACGACTCCAAGGAAGGTGGTCAGTAGATATCGACAATCGAACTGAGACTGGTGTACCAGCAAGAATGCTATTCGCTATCGTCGCTGGCAAATTGAACATATTTGTCATGGCGCTTCAGCCTACCTCGGAAGAAAACGTATACACGCGTTACGGACTTTTTCCTGTGTCAGTTTCCAGTCATCGCACACTGTTCGCCATCATGAGAGGAGGAAATCTACGTTGGCAGTATGTCTCGATTGTATAGAAAATCTATATACTTTTCTTTATCCTTTATTTCTAGGGTTGGAATTTTTTTTTTATCATATTCTCAACAGGGACCTTTGACACTGGCCATGCTGCCAGGGAGAAGCCCTTGTCACTCTATAAGTAGACATGCACCGCTCGAGATATCACAAGGGTCAAATCTTCAAGCCTATCATCGCCAGGTGACAAATAAATAGGTATAATTGTAAAAAAGAGGTGGAAAGTCAATATATATTTATGAAGCTACGTCTGTCGCTCACACAGTGGCTAGGTATCTCAATCTACGAATCAATCAAAGGGCGACTCTCATCGCCCTGTCTCATCTCCAGCTCAGCAGGGTCTACTATACCTACGCCTGCAATCCACTCCAGGCCACGGCCTGCGTCTGCTTCCGGACCTTGTACGTCCCGTCGGGCATCTTCTCAAAGTGCTCGAAAAGCCCAGCCATGGACCCGGTCATCTTGTCCGCGTCCTGCTCCGAGCCGCTGGATGAGCGCACGGGCAGTGCGCGGCCACCGCTGCGGGCCTCCTCGACCGCCTTGAAGAAGCCCAAGTCATCGAGGATCTGTCGGATCTGCGCTGAGGAGAGCCCGACTAGCTGCGACGGGACGGTGGGCGAGCTAGGCTCGCCCTCAGACGAGGGAGCGGGGTGGACGAACTCGGGCACATCGTCTCTGATGCGCTCGCAAGTCCAGCAGATGCAAATCTCCGAAGAAGAAGAGGAGGAGGACTCGTTCGAGTCCAGCACATCCAGCGCCTCCGACGTGTCAGGGGACGACAGCGTGGCCGACCTCTGCTGCGTCGTCTCGCCGTCGGGCCCGTCCTGGTATTTCGGGTAATCCCTCATCACACGCTGGAAACACTCGTACTGCTCAGAATACAGACGGTGCGTCCTCCAGATGAGCTCGACGCCGAAATGCAGCGCCCTGTCGCCGTCCATCGCCTCGCCGCCCTCGAGCAGCTGCAGGGCGAAGTAGGCCACCGACGCGCGCTCCAGCGACCCGTGCAGCGACGGGCCGCGGATCCAGAGCAGCCTGTGCGCCTCGTCTATGAAGTCGTCGTGGCGCTTGGCGACGTCGAAGAGGTCGACGTGCAGGGGCATGTCGTGCTCGGCGTACGCGGGGGGGTCGCGGAGGTACGAGGGCAGCTCGGCAGACTGGCCGGACATGGTATCGAAGAGGACCTCGGCCGCGCGGGGGAGGGCGTACTCCATCGTGTGGACGTCGAGGACCTCGCGGAGGGCGGCCCAGGGGAAGCAGAGTTGGCGGACGTGGTCGGAGTGGCGGGGGTCGCCGCACTCGAGGCGGTAGGCGTCGGTCTCTAGCATGAAGGTGTACCAGACGAAGAGGACGTCGAGGGGCGGGAGGTAGTCCTTTGTGAGCTGGACGCCGATGCGCTCGGTGGGACGGTAGGCGTAGATGGCGGCGTGGTTGAGGACGGCGTCAATGTTGGCCCACCACGCCTCGAAGCGCGTGACGGCCAGCCGGATCAGGGTGTGCCATCGGTGCGTGTCGTGGGGCGTCGACTCGATGCCATCGTCGTCGGAGAGCCTCGCCTCATAGGCAGGGGGGCAGTCAAGCTCGACCTCGGTGGCGCTGAGGCGGAGGTTGTAGAAACACTCGAGCAGGGCGAGGTGGACAGCGGCGTGGCTGACGTCAGGGTAGACGAGAGGGTTCTTCTCGGTGTTGTACTCGATGTGGCCCGGGATGTGAGCGTTGGCAAAGATCTTGGGGTTTGGGATCACGGTCTGGAGCTTGCCGCCCGGCTTAGGGGTAGGATACGATGAGGGGGATGGCAGCGTCCAAGAATGAGGCTCGAGCCCAACTTGGCTTGCTGAGATGGCCTTACGAACACGATTAAGCAGCAACATGCGCTGGATGGATGGACGAGTGATACAGAAGAGTACGAGGAGCAGGAATCAAACAATGATGGAGTACAAGGGGGGAGGGGGCAGCCGAGGGGGGTCTAGCTTATGAAGGCTTGGACGGAACTGAGACGCTCGAGGTACCAGAGACAATAAGCTTAATTTTAATCCATCTACCGGTCGGAGTGACGCAACTTGCTGCTGCTCGCTTGGGAGAGAGCACAAAAGAAGGGACTCAGAGCCCGAATAACTGCCTGCCAGCAACGGAGTGACGCGCGGCGAACCCGCAGTAGGTTCTTGGCGGGCGTATGCTAGTGAGCCTTGGCATTACTGGATATGAGACCTCTCAGTTGATCAAAGCGACGGAGGGCTGCGAGTTGGAGGCCTGTGGCAGGGGTGAGGCGATCATGGGCAGGGCCGTGTCTAAGGCCAGCTTCCCATTTGCAGGCTCCCCGCAGCCTCAACGCTCTTGGCCTGGCCCTACGAGCGAATAACGTGCGTAGTCAGAGTCTAGACATTGGGCGTATCCCGTGCGAGTTCCTATCAGGCCTAGTGTGCGGCGCAGATAATCTAGATATCTCGGAGGGGGGGGGGGGAGAACATGAAGGCGGTTCACATTCAGATGGTTCCGTCACCTGATTGATTCGGCTGGTTTGCAATTTAATCAATTATCGAGCCTTTCTTTCCTCACTAGCCATCCATTCCCCATGCTATTCCCCATCAGTCCACTCTGCAGGTGGGTGGAGGTTTGGCGTCGGGCGTAACAATTGAGTCAAGGATGGCCGCCAAGAACAACACAATTTGGTCGTTCGTCGCCGCATCATCACGCGCTTGGACAAAAGAGCGAGTCATTTAGATTTCTTTCGCATGGGTGGCACGAATTGAATCAAATGGCTCACCGCAGGTTCGTATTGCTTCATGCATGCACTTCTCACATTTGCTGGGAACATTTGTGCAGGTGCAGGGTAGGCTGCCAATACGCGTGTTGGTCCCATAAAAAAAAGATGGTCCATTATTAGCAAAAAAAAAAAAGAGCAAAAGATGGGAAAAAGTCAAAAAAGATGTTATCAATCGTTCATTATAGGAACAGCCCGATGCGGGGGTCGAACCCGCAACCTTGAGATGTGAACTCGTAAGAGTCTCACGCTCTACCGATTGAGCTAACCGGGCACCTTTCCGGGTGCTTGTGATGTTTTGACCGTCCGCCAATCTCATCTCATGGAGTTTTCACAGCCAGGCCAGACTCGAGGCAGCACTGAACAGCTGCGCATGGAATTAGGCAATGCCTGAGTAAACTAATCAACGTGCCGAAAATACGCATAATTTCTCGGACATTCATAGATGTTGTTATTAAACCGGTGCCTGGATGAAACAGCCATTAACATCGCCCGTCATAGAACGCCCCCAGTTGAAAGGATCTTCCATGTCGTCGAGAAAAACATGACTCGAGATGGTATCATGTACCTATGAACCTGGCCCATACCGAAAAGAAAGGCCCCTCCATATCCATTCCCAGCTACGTTTCCATTTCCTCAGAAAAACCACCCCAGAATCCTTGCGAAACGTTAACAAACATGGGAGGCACAGCCAGGTCCATGTCGATATTCATGGTATTATACATATCCGCATCAGACAACATTGAGACATCTGTCCCAAAGGGCTCCAGGCCGACGAAACCTGATGCCTCTGTCGTAATCTCGGCCTCGTTCTCGTTGCTGAACTCGCTTTGAGGAGAAGGCATGACCAACCCTGGCATGGGCCGCGGCTGGCCATCTTCTGGGGTTAGGCCTTGCCCTTGGCTCGAGCTATTTTCGGGCTCAGAATGGTCGGGCTGGCCGACTGGGGAGTTTTGCAAGGCGCCGTAGTCGATGACGGAATTGTGCAGAGCCTTGCCTTCCGTCGTGTTGCTTACTGCCGTGTCTCCTCCAGCTTTGATGTTGGAGTAAAAGAACTGCATTCTTTGTATAGTGTTCCTCTATTACACCTCCCGAATTAGTACAAATTTACTTAAACTATTTACTTGAATGAGTACATGTGCGCGAAGGGAGGAAATACTCACCCAAGTGTCAGCCATCGGCCATGCTTGCCTCATCTCCTTGAGAACATCGCATCCTTCCACGACACGAGTCCGCCAAGACTGGATCCGGGCCTCTTCCGCCCCTGGAAATGGGAAGTGGAAGAAGAACAAGAGTGCCCCCACGGCTGTGTAGCTTGCGAACCCGACACAAGGCACAAGCCCGCGGAGGAAAAACAATCCAAAGTTTCGCATTTCGTGGAGCATCTCGCAGACCCGCTCTGCCATTTTTACGAGCTCCTCGCTCGAGTTGAGCGACCACTGCTCCCACTCTGCTGGCTTGTTGTTGCGTAGCTGGCCCATCTCGACTTCTGGGAGGTAAGAGCGGTAGAGGCAGATGATGGATACATGGTAGATGGCGTGCATGTAGCAGTATGCCTGGCCTTGGTTCGATACAGAGTGTGCTCGTAGAAGATGCGGACTGTATCTGAGACGTTTTGGTAGCGAGGATCGCCAGTTCTCGAGTCTGGAGAGAAGTTTCTGTAAGCTGGACTGAGGGTCCCACGGGGGAGGCTCGTCTGCATGGGATGCGCAAGCCCACTTTGCTACGTCGCCCCATATGTTAGCGACACGCATCGTATAGCCAATGAGGTCTAGATTTCCAATAGGAACACCGTCCGCAGGAGGTAGAGAACCATCCAACCTCTCACATCTGACGGGTTCGCCGAAGTTGAAGGTGTCCATGTCACAAGGAAGCTGGATATTCATCCTCTCAGCAGACAATGTTCGGTCTCGGGCTTTACCGCCACTCAATATACTGTCCATGAGAAAACAAGTCCACGCAGTTCGTCTTCGTTCCTCTGCTGCTACGAAGTCCTCACTGGATAGATCTGGGCTCGGCGGGTCCTCGTCAAACAGGCCCAGGGACTGGGCCATTCTGACGGCCATGCCTAGATAGAACCATGCTCGCTTTCCTTCTCCCGCACCCCAGGAGTGACCCGTGAGCAGCAGAAGTACCTGGATGCGTTGCAGGGTCGGTTCATCCACATGTGGCAAGATGAGGGACCTTGCGCGCGAGGCAAACGCGTTGCTGGCATCAATCTGGCTGGGGTAGCCAGTCGGAGAAAACTGCGAGAAGCTGGGCAGAGAATAGAAATGTAAGTTGGATGAGACGAGACATTAAGCGTGGGATAGTATCTCACCGCACGGCGATGGCTAGAATAGCCCACGTAAGACAGTGATCAAGAGTCTGCCGGTGTATACTAGACAGCAGGCTGGGCGTGTGATGGAAGGACCACTTGTAGGCGCATCTCACGTAGCACGACTTGACTTCATCTGTCAGATAGCTGTAGGGATTGTCTAGAGGCGCGGCGGCCGGGGCAGAGGAAGAGGGAGTCGCCGGCGCCGAGTCCTGCAGCTTGATCCTCGCCAGACTCAGGGGACTCCCGATGGGATACTCCCGCCGACCAGCAGCCCGGGCGCGCTGGGCAGAGAGACCCGAGGCATGCGAATGCGCCGGGAAGATGCACTCATCGCCTCGGCCCTTGCACCGGTCGCAGGGCGGTTCGCCGGTATTGATACACTGCGCAGCGAGGTGAGCGACTTAGGTCCCGGGGTGGCATGGCTTCAATTGACGCACTTTCCGCTTCGACGCCCTGCAAGCTGTGCAGGCGATGGATTTCTTCATGGCCGTGGCGGTGACGAGCATCACGACACGGCATGCTGTGCTCTGGGCTGGTGTTTCGTTTCAGCGAAGACACTCGAGAGTTTTCTGTCCAGCTTAATGACCAATGGGGAAACCTCGGGCAGTCTCAAATCTACGGCTGAAATCAATTGCCCCGCTGCTGATGCTGATCTGATGCTGGTCGTGTGCTCAGATCAGCTCTCCACAGATACCACCACGCTCGCTCTTAGTGGTTTTGTTTATTAGATTGGAGTACTGGCCTATCAGACTCTTTTGGCATTTCTTTTCAGACATGGAACAATGCTCTTATTATATTACCCCGACCGGGTAGAAGTATATATTCCTCTCTAGGCCTCAGACTACAAGCTGTGCCTGTAAGTGCTTATCTTGAAGCCCCCGTAGTATAAACATCACAGTTGAGTATTTTCAACAGCTTATATGTATATACCTCAACATCTAGCCTAGGAGTTAGTACGCTTGTACTGGCTTTAAATAATTGCATAAGATCAGAACTAATTCTTCAAGCGGCATCAACCCCCATGATGACCACATATGACAACGAAAACCATTTCATTACCCAAGCCTATGCCTTACTCTGACCGCCGTAGTACCCTGGAGACTTAACAAAAAACCGATAACACCACATCACAGAGCAAGACATATCAACAAGCTCATCTGGACTCATGTATTGTGACCATCCAACCCTTCAATTCGCCAGAGCCTCAATTGCCCTCCAGCTCAGCTACAACACCGGCCTCCCCTCTCAATAATTGGAGCACCTGCGAGCGATCTCGGTTGTTCTCATTGAGAATTCTTTCCCCAAGCTCTACGACTGTAATGTTCTCACTAACAGCTTCGTATTCACTGGAATCCGAAGCCTGCCGCGGATAATGCCAAAGTAGTCGTGCTGCGAGGTCGATATATGAACTCTCACGAAATTTGCCCACGGTACGTCGGAACACCTCCCATGATAGGTCCAGCGGGCTTTCCAACATGAAAACCTGAACCAGATTAAAGTAGTGAATCGTGCTCGTGACGGAGCTCATTACAATGTCAACACAATTCCAGTTCTGGTGAGCTGCGGCGAGAATAATCGGGTCTGTCTCTGGAGATTCGCCAAGAAAAGGATTTTTCCTAGCGATGCCATGATCAATCAACAACTGGACCAGACGTGTCTCTCCCGCAATACACGCCTCTTGAAGCTGGGTTTTCGGGCCGGGGCTCGACATGTTAATGCCGTGTTTGATAAAATGCTGCGTCATTCGATACTGACTAGCAACAGGCCATCTCTGGACCATGAAATCCATCACAGTAGTGCATGACTCGAAATTGACATTGGCTCCGTTCTTCAGAAGAAAGTGGGTGATCCAGAACTGTTTGATGTTAATATGACCCTTCTGGCGTACTGCTGCAAAGGCCGAGAGAAGTGGTGCGCAGTAGATTCGGCCCTCTCTCTCCCTTCCCGAGCCGCAGAATCGGTTGCAGACGTCTTCGCTCCGTTCCGTCGCTTGGATATCTGCTCCGGCCAGAATCAAAGCGCACATGCAGGTTACGCTGTTGCATGCGGCAACAGCCAGCGGTTGGCGAGGATCGTGTAGTGTACATCCGTCTGGGTCGGCGCCATATCTCAATAACAGACAGAGCGTCTCCCAGTCTCGCTGAGCTATTAATTCATTGAGTGGGTTGGTGGAGGTATCGTTTGATCCCTCAATGGAAGCCCCTTTCTTGAGAAGTGTCTCACAGAATAATCGCCTCTTCGTTTTGAGAGACCCTGGGTTCTGGGAAAGCTTGCGCAGGAGCATTGCGTCCACTTGCTCTCGGTATTTGTCGGACAATGCATGCCTCCTCCTCTCCGATATTTGTATAGCATCCATGTCCAACTGTGTAGCAATCTGAATGTTTTGAAAATCTATTTCAGGAATAAAACTAGGGACCAATGGCTGCCAGTTTATCGTTCTAGCTGTGCTATCGCCCGCCGGTGGCCCGGGTTGGCTGGCTTCTCGCTCTGTCTGGGGTTGAGGGCTTGGGGACGCTATGGAAGGCTCCGGGACCGGCGAGGTAAGGAGAGAAGGTTCGCTCATGCCGGCTTGGCTTTGAACCTCCAGGTTGAATGAAGAAAAAAGTGTCGTACGGGAAATGCTGGTGACATCGTTGCTTTGTGTGCTTGCAAGATCCGAACTGGCGACTGTAGACAACTGTGTGGTTGATGGATTGTTTAGAGGGGAGCTGAACCCAAGACTGCCCTCTGCACTTAGAAAACTCTCGGATGGCTTATTAGACAATGATTTCGGTGCTTCTTCATCCTCTCTGTCGATCTGCGGGTCATTTTCACTCAGTGAAAGTGCAGGTAGCTCCGGGATAGGATTGGTGGTGACCGCAGGTCTTGCCGGCTCCTCATCTGGATCAAGAATGGTGGCCTGGTAGGCTGTCTCGCCGCATGTCGTGTAGTCTGCCATCTTCTCGAGCCACTGTTCCACCTTGGTTTGCGACTCCGTCGGCGGTGCTTGTGTAACGAGACGGCTGAGGATCTCGTCTTTCTGCAGAAGCTTGACCACCTCGGCCACCTCACGAATCACTTCGGTATCGTTCTTCACCTCTCCAACGATGGAACTGCTCGATTTGTCAGTTGACGCTGCGAGAATTGGTGGGTGGTTACCGACATTGACATCAGATGGAGGCCGATGCCCAGCGCGACCTTGTACGACTCGAGCGATTCTCTCAGTTTCCGAATCTGATCGACCCCAAACAGCGACCACCGTAGCTTCAGCCAAAGTGTCAATCGCCCGCGGTATTTGACTAAGAGTGACTCGATCTTCTCAACCACCGCCATCGCACCGGTCACAGCGCTATTGATCTGCTCCAGGAGAGGGCCCAGCATCGGGTTGGACTGGGCACCGAAGCGGGAGAGCCCAGTGGTGAGTGGGGTAATAAAGGCCTGGAAAAGGGCCAGCTCGTTGGAAATGTCGCGTAAATCGTCAGATGCGTCGCGCAGGTCGACGGATATCTCTGCTACGGTGGCCACCGTCTTCACGAGGCCGGCCGCGAGCGCTACCGACGCAGCAACCACAGAGATGGGCTCCATGGTGCGTTCATTTCTCCGCTCTCTGCGTGAAAAATGGTAAATGAGAGAGAGAGGAATGTGGGAGGGCTGAAGCGCCAAAAGCAAGACATCGGCTGAGCCTGGGCTGACAGATGGAGGGACTTAGGCCGCCACAGAGTATGCACGTTGTGCAAAATATGAATGCTACACCAAAAGCTCACCCTGCAGCTGCTGGCTCATTTGGGCTATGATGTGCCACTTGTCCTGCGGCACGATGCAGGCTGAGTTATTATGACCACCACCACATCAGTTGTTTGAACGTATTGGTCGCCTATATTAAGTAGTTTTTTTTGGTACTTATCTAGCCAAAAGAGTACAAAATGGTGAGATTCAAAGCTTTCAAACTCTTGAACCAAATTGCCTGTATCGGAAAAGAGTAGGCTTTATTTTGGTTCATTATAAATGGGATCTGTGAGGTGCTGCGCCAAGAAGGACACGGCATGCAGTCCACCCAACCTCATTGGTTAGGTGTCCTCTCTAGCATTAGTAACTCTCATGCTGCATCTGCCGCAGAGGCCTGAGCAAATGTAGGTTTATAGTGCGGGTGGTGATATATTGATATTTGATGTGATACTATAGCACTTTCCAAAGCTTGACCACAGACTTATTCCGGCTCGCCCCTCCAATAAAAACCACTTCTTCGCCCACTACTCTCTCGTAAATATGGAAACCAAGCTTATGTAGGACGTTGAGACTCCCAAAATTGTCGGGGTGCACGTTTGCCTGTATCTGTATCCTGATCTGAGGGTCACTTTTCCTCTTTTCACCCAGGTAATGTTCCAAAAAGGCTCTAATGCTTTCAGTTGCAAAGCCCTGGCCCCATGCCGACGGGAGAAACAAGTATCCAAGATCAAGGCCAATCACTCGGCTCGCGTCGCTGGCTGCTGAGCTGCCCAGTAACCCCTCCTCGATTGGTTCTATAGGCAGCAACGTGAGGATGCCTATGCTTTCCGGACCATCATCTGCAACACCGTGGCCTGTAACTTCTGGCCTGTGGCTATGTGTCCGAGGAAGTACTGCATAGCAAACGCGCTCGTCAGATCGATCTGCTGCCGTCGAAGGTATCACGCCTGCCATCCACGCTTGGCTAGCCGTCTTGTTTTCGCACGGCCCATGGAGACTGTTTGAGAGATTAGAGAAAGGACGAGAAGGTACGGGAGCTCTATATACCTCCACTGGGTGGCCTGCTTGTCACGCCAGACGTTGTGGAACAAGTCCAAATGCACACTGCTCTCCGCGTTGGAAGTGAGCTGCTTTAGCTGCAGCCTCGGAGTTTCGACTACAATCTCCGCCATTGCGTTCCACTTGGGTGCTCGTAGGGCTGAAGCTAGTGAGATAGATGGTGTTGTTCGTCTTTGGAGCTGGCGGTCACTGAGACAATAATCACTCACCTCGCCTCAAATTTGCGCGGCAGGATTCGGCTCTGGTGGCTCACCCTGCTGAAAATCCACTATGCGGCTTTGAAGGAGTTTTAATATTCAATAATATCGCCGTATTGGCGGGGTTCTTTTATAGTGATTGAAATGGGTGGCTCGCAAACTCGCTACCGGGGTACCAGTCTTGTAACGGGGTTTAGCCTATTACTGCAATAACGATACTCACACAATATGTTCAGCATTGAGGTGATGCTCTCAAATAGGCTGGATATAAACGATTATAAAGCGAGGTGTTGGTATTATCGTGTTTATTCCTAGTGGTGAGATAGTCTTTGCAAGTCATGCACGGGAATATTGAAAGTTAACAGAACGTGAGTGAAAGGAAATCAATCTCAGATTCATAGAATGCTTGAGTTCTTGTTGCTGGAAATTGAAATTAATTTAACGCTTGGGCGTTGAAGAGAAATCCAATATTACGAATAGTGGAAGAATCATGGGCATAGATTCAACCAAGAATTGAAAGTTAGGACTACTACCATTATTCGTGTATACTAATCTTATCAATCTAACCTCATGCTCCTCTCAATCTCATTCAACAGAACCCAAACGCCAAACCCCATTACCCAGAATTACAAGGCATCCTGTGCCGCGAGCACGTCCTTCGGGGCAAAGGTCCTCTCCAAACTACCCTCCCAGTGGTCGTAACCCGCCTCTTTCTTGTACTCCCCAGTCAGATCTGCGTTCTTTGGGATCTGATACTCGTTCAAGACGAGTTTCTTTCCACTGGACTTCTCAGTCTTCACCCATCGCGCCTTTTCCTTATTGCCAGCGTCGACATGCTCCCAGCTCTTATACCTGTCCCCAACAAATGGAGCAGGCGTATACCGCTTTCCGTCCTTGCTCCAGTGCTTGACCCTGTGGTAAACACTGGGGTGAATTTCTTCGCAAAAGTTCTTGGCTTCAATCTGAACCCCGTTCTCGGTCGCCTTGGTTTCTCCTGGAACACGCTTGTAGGAAGCCGACAATGTCGACACGCTCGAGCTGATCCACCAAACTGACAACCACGGATTCGTGTCCTCAAGGGTGCCGTCACTCCATTGGACCTTTGACCAGGCTGCCGCCATGTCTCGGACCTTAGTGTTGGTCGTGACGAAGTTGTTGTCACTGAGGCGGAAGAGGATATACTTCTGGAGCGCGGTACCGCTGACTTGGAGCTTGCCGTGAATCTGATCAATCATCCACGAAAAGGCGATCTCATCGACGCTGTTGGTGTCGATGTTGCTTGCGCTGTGACCGCCAACATCTGAATGATATCCAGGGAACCAGACCTGCTTGAGGTTGACATTGGGGCAGGTCGAATCCTTGTACCAGAGAGTTGGTGGAAAGTTTCCACGAGTCTCATCAATTGCAAGCGCGTGGAACGCGTTCTCAATGCCTATTATCTCAATCAGTTAGACAAACCATCTTTTATTTTTAAGGCTGAATTGGATCAACGGAGCCTGCAACTTACGGGGATGAAGCTTTGTTGAGTGAAATGATGTGTCGTCGCCGGCCTGGACAAACCAAGTCGTGGCGTTGATGCTGCCTACAGTGTCCCAGACACCGACGACTTTGATTGGCACGTGCATGTGGGAAATGGTCTTCAGATAATCGTAGCGACTGCCATAGGGATACGGATCCCTGCCCTGCTGGGGCGGCAGAGTGCCGAGTTCTCCAGGCTCAAGCTTGTCTTGAGCCCACTTTGTCTTGGAAAAGGCCTCCTTGCCTCTTGTCTTGTAGGCGAGATAGACATCATAGAAGCTATCCAGATGGAGAGGGGTGAGGAGGCCGACTTCGCAGATGAAGCCAGCCAGCGAACGGGCCGTGTAGGCACCTCTGGAGAAGCCGAAGATGAAGATCTCATCATCAGGGCCCCAATTGTTTGCGAGAAAGTTGTAAGCCTCGCACACATTCTCAGCAAGACCGCCACCAACAGCACCTGGATGGAACACGTTAGCCGGAGAGTAGGAGCTCAATCTCAGGAGTCGAATATACCTTGATAACTCTTGTTGACTTTGCCGACTGCGCCAGTACCAATTCCGGACTGGTAGTAGACGACTTGAGGAATCTTCTCTCGCTTATCGTTGACGCCAACGCGAGAGATGACACGGGATAGTCTTGCTACATTGCTAGCATACTGGTCGTTTCCTTTGTCGATCGCGCCGAAGGTGCCGTCACAGCAGACAATCAGGCGCTTCTTGATGTTGCCCTGAGCGTAAGTCGCTGTACAGGACCTGCAATTCTCGGACATGGTGGGCGATAATTCAGCTGTGAGTGAGGATTGGAGAGATGCAGTGAAAGACTTTCGTCAAGTGGGCGAGATTGAATCGACACAATGTCCTGGGCAATGGTTGTATATGCCATAGATATGTCACAAGTGAACATCGTTAGCCGCCACCATCGAGTGCCGACTGATCAACTGACAATACCGTCGTCAGCTCCCTTCAGCCCCAAGGCCATAGCGGGTGCGGGAGACGCTATAGTGTCGGCTTGACGGCCAAAAGTGGCAAAATATCGATGAATGTCATTAGTCTGGGAATAGTGGCAGGGGCCTAGAAGCTGAACTCTGGGGGTCTAGCCTCTAGTGAAGCTTGTTTTCAACACTATCTATCTCGTTCTATTCCTTGCGAGTACTAAGGAGACGAGCTGTGCCTCGTAATGCAACCTCCCGGTGGTAGATTGACCCAGATCCTGTGATATTGATAGGCCACCCTCGCTGTGGCACGGACCGCTCTAGACTAGATGGACAAGGGGCTCAGCCCAGCCGCCGCACCCGTCTTAGACCTGTCTTAGACCCGTCATGGTGCTCGTGAGGCCTCGAACTAGTTGCGTTAGTGGCCTCGGCCCTCTGGAAGGGCCAGGGTTGGCAAGCTATTGCCCCCAATGCTTGAGCTAGTTTGGGCCTGTCTCAATATTGTTTGTATTTTCCTCCAAGGGTCTGTCTAGGCGCAGGCATTCGTGAACGAATCCAGTTACAAACGTCCTAGCCATGACATTTACATCACTCTTACGCGGGTCTAGGGTCCCAGTAGCTGTTTTAGATGCATTCCTGGAGGCAAACGGCATGGATGAGACCAATGGCTACCCTCCATTTGAGGACCAGGACCCTGTGATCTCCTCGATGCTCCGCTCCAAAATGGGCACGAAGTCTGATAATGCACGCATCTTTATCCCCAACCGCAAATCATTCAACACATCCTCTGTCGCCTATGTTACCTACAAATGGGTGAAGGTCTATGCACAACGCGAGATTGACCTCGATGAGGATCTTCCTGGCCAAGTTCCGGCGGTATTTATTAGTCTCAAAGATGAAATAATGGGGTTTGCAAAAGAAGAATACTTTGCAGGGACGGACAAGGGGAAGTTTGGACAGATTGGACTGTTTATGGTTTTCAATCAGAGTGTCAGCTGGCTGCCGGCCGAACTTGAAGCTCGATCACAGGTAACCGCGTCCCAACTCCCTTTGATCTATGCCCCATTTATGCTGACCAGAATCATTGTCTAGATTCCAATTTCTTGTGGTTTATGTGATCAGGCTTTCGAGTCATTTGACGAGCGCCAGCTTCACCGTAATCATACCCACGGGGTGTCAGAAGGCACCAACCCGCTCCCCGATGCATGAATGAACGGGGGCATTCCAAAAAATATCCTGAATTTTGGAGGCTACTTATTATAATGTGTGTTTCATGATTCAGCTGTCTGCGGCAAGATTGCGAGGCTCAGGCCTCAAACAATTACAGCATCATTGATCAATTTCAAGAATGGAAGTAGCCCTTAGTGATATCATTTTATAAGATAGTATCTAATAGTCTAACTATTTTTCAGTTCTTGGGAGATGTGACTTCAAACGCGGGCGTGTCAAATATATCCCAGTTGTCCGCTGCAAAAGGATTGCCAAACGGCACCAGCGCCGCGAACCTCATCTTGTACTTCCCCGGCGCAATCTGCGTCCCATTGGCGAGCAATCCAAGCCACCAGAGATCCTCTCCTCGATACCCAGTCTGGCTCCTCGCAACGTCCTTGGCCGGCAACGCAATCACTTGACTTGCATTATCCTTGGAAGGGTCAAAAGCCACGCCCCTGGCTGAATTGACCCAGCTGGTTGCAGAGCCAACGTATTTGGCCTCACCGACAACGGGAGGGTACTTCCATTCACGCTCAGTCCATGAATCTTCAAATATGTCCCACCTGAGTTGGCGTGTTCCATGTTGAAGACGGGCGTACGCTTTCACGTAATCTTGAGCTTCGAGCGAGAGGTCAAAGCTGAAAGTAGCTTTGTCTTTAATAGGAGTGTTATCAGGACCGGAAGTCATCGTCGGGAAGCCCATTCCATAAGAAAAGATGCTAGTAATATCCTTGTGTAGATCGGCGCTGAGACCCAGATACGGGATGCCGAGCTCCTCGTTATTGTCTCCTTTGATCAGAACTTTGCCGCTATAAACCGGAAGCTTGGATCGATCGGTTACTTCGGGGTACATGAACGAGAACTCGGCTTTCCTGGTTTCACCTGGCTGGACGGTAAAAGTCCCTCCCGGAAAAGAAACTCGCGGCGTCAAACTTTGAGGGTCGACCATAAGATACTCATGCCAGGCAACTTGAGGGTTGCCCCAGCGGCTTGGGTCAGTATCTATCGTGTTCATGCCGCCGAATGCTTGTTGTTCAAATGTGTATGTCACAGGTGAGTCGTTATTGTTGGTTATTTCAACGTTATGGTAACGGCTGAAATGGTGCGTATCGTTGAGAGCAAACTTGGCGAAGGATAGCGACGTCTTGTAATCCAGAATCTTGGTCGCGTTGATCAAGCCTGTGCCGACCTGCGCAACAGGCGCGAAAAAGTCGTACACGTTGCCTGTTAGGAGGCCATCGTCCCACTTGATGGCGTCGCCGGATGCAATAATCCGCATGGCGAGAGACTTGGCCCATTCTGGCCCTTGGGTTTTGCGGCCGCCATATTTGCTAACATAGAGAGCAGCGATACCAGCAGCATATGGGCACGCCATTGAGGTGCCACTCAGTATAGCAAAGCCGCCGTTGAGATACGTCGACAGGATCCGGCCACCAGGGGCAGTGATGTCTGATTTGATGAAAAGTTCGTTGGCAGGACCTATTGAGGTGAAGGAACTCGCGAGACCAGGGAGATCAGTATTTTCCATGCCGGCATAGTGCAGATCGGCGCGGTGTGAGAAGTCGGCCGTTACGTTGCCCCCGGCCTTGATAGTATCTATAATTGCCTTCCCATTCTCTGCAGATATCATGCCGACGGCACTGTCCCAGATTGGGGTTGAAGGGGAGGTCAGGGGTTGGTCGTTGCTGTAGAATAGAATATGAGAAGCGTTGAAAGGTATCAGATTGATTTGCTTATCAGCAAAAGCGCAACCGCCCCGGCGAACAAGGACAACCTTTCCTCCTAGGTCTGGCGTACTTTCGGGGAGTGGCGAACATGCTTCATCTTCCAATGGCTCTAGGCTTAAAGGATAGATCGGCCAGTTCTTAACCTGTGACTGGTCCCATGGCTCTACGGCACTGTATGGAATCCAGCTTGAGTTTGCGGCTGCTCCATCGATATATGTGATGTTGAAGGTTGGAACTGCGATATTGAGCGGCTCGGCTGAGGCGACAGCGAGGACATTGGGAGCAGCTGCACCGCTGTTTGCAGCGAAGGCCCCGATACTTCCTGAGTTTCCAGCAGATATGGTGATTAACACACCACGTTCGACAAGTCGGTTGCCTACCAGAGCCCATGGCCCGTCTGTGTATCCATTGACTGCGCCGATAGAGCAAGTTATGATATCGGCGCCCTCATCGTAGGCTCTTATGAAAGCATCAATGAGAGTGTCCTCATCCGTGCCATCAATGGTGCTGAAAACCTTGTATGAATAGAGCGTAGCGTCAGGAGCGACACCAGTGAACTGGCCAGATTTGCCGGCTACGATACCGGCAACATGCGTGCCGTGGCCTTGTTGATCCAATGGATCATCATCTGGCTCTTTCTCCCCAGCTGCCGGCCATGTTCCATCTCCGACGAGATCGTATCCACCTGCGACCTTGAAGCCACTGCCGAAACCACCTCCGAGCTGGATGAAAGTTAGCAGACGCTTATAGATTCTGAAGAATTCGGGGCACGTACGGTAGGGTGATTATAGGAGATGCCCGTATCTACAATCGCAACCTGTGCGCCTTTCCCTGTGATCCCGGCACCATGGATCTTATCCACGCCCGTCATGGCATGAATGGAGTAGTTCGTAATGATAGCCTCGTCGGTTAAAATGGCGGAAGGGGTAATCGGTGCTAATTGATACTTTCTAGACGGCCATACTTGGCTAACAGGGTTGAGAGACTGCAGAGAGTCTGAGTTGTCTTCATCTGACTCTAGGGAACATCCCCTAAAGACCTCGCTGTCATAGATTTTGACCACTTTCTTACCGCTGACTCTGGCCAGCTCATTAGCGGCATCAGCGGCATTGACATTCTATATGACAGTTGTCAGTGCTCTTGTTGTTGTGAAGGAATTGTTTCGTAATTCACACCTCATTGAATTCAACAATAAAACGTTTTGGGATGCTGATAGTTTGATTATTGGGAGCTTCGATAAGAGGTTGATCATCAGACAGTGAAATTGCTGATGTAACAAGGGTGAGCCCTGTGAGGAGATGCGAAAGAGAAATCATCTCATCGGTCTTGTTGCGGGTTGTGGAAAACAGTAGACACCGAGGACAACCAGATTCAATAGGCCAACAAGAGTCTAACGATGTATATGTATTTTCGCAGACCGCTGAGATATGTGGGGGAGGATTGATAACGCTACCATCCTGGATGATGACCTATACCATCACCTTCCTATCCGGCTCCAAGATAGCCGCTCCATAGAGCAGGGGCGCTGTGCAAAAGAACCCGCCTGTCCAAATATCCGGCGTGCAGATTTTCCTCGTATTATATTTATCCGGCACTCAAGCGAATCTTGCGAGGATATAATCTTTGGGACTTAGAAAAGGTATATGATCCGATAAGGGTTTCTTGACAACTTCCCTAGTCAGTTTCTTCATCTCGCTCAATCATTGTGGGAATTCTCTACATCTTCTCGGTCGTATGCTGTTATGTATATGTCACTCACAAGCGAGGAAATGGTTTAATTGGATGCTGGACTGAGTGGTTTTTTACCCTAGTCAGGAGAAACGAGCATATCATCTCTATCTTTAATTGAACTCCCCAATCGGGATCTAGTCTGTATACCCTTGAACCTGTCATGGCCAGGACAAGAGCAATAACGGCAAAATCTATTGAAGACCCTCTTCTAGTACTACTTCGTACACCGAGAAGGAACAAGCTCTTCTCTTGGCGTGCTGTTCAATACGAGGTGAAAAATGAGGTGATTGAAGTCATTAGGAGCCATCTGACTTTTTATCTAAAGATTTTGTCCACCATCGCGCTCAATCTCAAAAGGAACAATGCAATCACTTTCCTCTTCCTTATGTCTATGTTGCTAGGTAGCTTAAGTCAATGACTTACTAGCAGGGTTAGACTCAATACCAATATTTTGCGTTCTATACTCGCTACAGAGATAGACAATCGCCTTATATACTAAATCTACGCTGGAATACTTTATAACCCATATTTATTACAAACCATAGCAATGCAACGATAGAGATCGAGGTTGCTTGACGTATTGTTGGTTCTAACCGGGACACATGAAGAGCTCTCGTAACACGGTATTGACTCTCATGTTGGATTTCGTTGAATAAGCGAGGAAATGGATAGATACATTGGACCGATTAGGGCCTATTTCTATTTGAAGAGCGGAATGCTAACTTGAAGTTAAAAATAAAATTGATAACGTATCATCGAACCTGACCGGTGAATTCGACGCTACCACGGAACGGCTCTGAATTCGTCCTGTTCGTATTCCCAGAAGGTACCTCCTTCAACTTCTCCCTTCTGAGATTCGAGCAACTTCATAATCACTTCAGCTCCCAAGAGTGGATCCTTTGTGCCTCTGAAGCCGTTGAAGCCCGTTTTGCAATGTCCGGGACTAATTGCCCAGAATGTGACACCTTTATTTTGAGCTTGGAAATGCACGGTAAGCATGTTGAGAGCAGCCTTGATCACGCAGTAGTCGATGACAGCCACGGCCGGCAGCTAGAGTGATTAACGTTAGTTCAGTCAGAGATTTCGGCTGAAAGAAACATACCTCCCCGCTGACCGTTTTCCCAAAGCTCCCACGACTGCTAGAGACCATGATTACACGAGGCCAGTTGCTCTTTTCGAGAAGAGGTAAAAATGCACGAGTAACCTGAGTATTTGATGTGATTCCGTTGTTGAAACTCTTGTTCGAGGCCTGGCGCCGCTCTGTCGGATCCGCCGAGGAGGAGAGCTCGATTTTAATAGCATTATTGATCAGAACTTTTCCGATTACCATTTAGCCATATCCTACCATTTTTCGGTTGATATTTTAGCTTACCATCAAGGTGACCAAACCGTTCACTCACGGAGTCTACGGCTGCCGCGATGGAAGAATCGTCCTCAATATCGAGTACGAGCGCGTGAAAGTTGGCCGAAACTCCACTTGACTTGAGTTGCTCAATAGCCTCCTCCCCAGCTTTAACTGTACGACAGCCAAGAAGGATG